CTTGGCATAGAGGCTGGGATGGCAAATAGTTTTTGTGTTTTGTGAGAGCTAGAAAACATGACATATGGTAAGAGACTGAAAAGGCAAAGCAGTCTCTTGACCCTTTTCTGAGGTCTTATTTCTCACATACAAGTTCTACCATTGCTTGCTTTTCCCTGAGAAAACAGGCTCAAGATCCCAGGAGAGAGAGGAAAAAATAGCTGCAAAAACTGAAGCAGCAAGAAAAGCATGCAACCTTTTTCTCCTTGATTAGATGTCTGAAATGGAAAGATGAGAAGTATCTTGCACACTCAACAGTCAGTTTTATTGTTATATTTTTATAGTTTGTAGATTTCCATCAGCATATCTGTTTTCTGCTAGGCTCAGAAAGTAGGCAGGCAGGCAGGAATTTAAAAAACGAGGAGAGAGATATAATGGTCCTAGGTGAGAACCTTTTCCTCACCTTACCTGAGATATTATGCCAAGTTCAACTCTCCAGGAATATGTCCATCCTGCAACCAGAAAAGAATATTCCCCATCTTTTCCTTAACATTCATGTTACTCTAATACAGAAATGGAGAAGCCCTTCTGTCTGGAGGGGAGAATTAGACACTGAAGTCATGTCCAAAATGGACAGAGCTTCCTCACTGTTGGTATGGAGATTTTTTTTGGATCGTTCATTAACACATCCTATGTTCCTATGCACATCCCACACATTTATGTTCATACATTGTCCCGCCATGTATGTCCTGTAGAGAATATACAATTTGTCCAACAAGACTTCCTCCCTCCACTCTCACATGCAACAATAAAGCTCTATAAAACTTCCACCAGCCCTATTAGGGTCATATAAATTTTTTGGTGAAAGACAAGCAAATTATATTTCTTTGTGAGGAAATCATGGGTAGAAGGGATTAAACTTCCTCTTCCTAGTTATGAACAAACAAATTGCTGTCTAATCATCAAGTAGGTTTTGAAAAGTTTCGGATATCAGTTAATTTGATTGTAATGCAATGCAGGACAAATATTGTATCGCTCATCACAGACAGGTCTTCATGGATGAAACAAGCTTCTTCATTGGCTGGACATTTTCCATTCCTATTGTAATTTTTTTTACTTTCCAACAGAATTAAGAATATACCTAGCTCTAACCCTAACCCTAACCCTTTCAAGGTCCAGTAATAAATTGACAGTCTTGATTCTCTTTCTTATTATTCATGATTTATCTTTCCTTACATAGCTAAAACAGAGAGCCAAAATTAGAAACTTATCCTGCTTTTTCAGCTTTGCTTGGACAAGCTCTCGGGATTCAAAATAGCCCTTTACATTGTTCAAGCTGCTTGCTTTGGACAGAATGCCAGGATCATTTTCTGTACTATTTATACTAAAAATATAAATATGAGTGGCATTTCTTTCTGTTGGCTTTCAATGCCTATGGACATAAAAAGAATCAACCCACTATTATCTGGTATTTTGCAAGTCAAAGTGTCACTCCAACTTAATGAAACTTAATAATGAATGTAAAAAAACTCCCAATTTTGGTTTCAGAAAAGTTGATGTTTCTTTTGAAGCTAAATTTGGCTCATATGTGATTGAGAAGGGATTAACTTTTTCCCAAGCATTGACACTACCAGAACCCTTCTGTAGATGTGTGAATTAATGTTTCCTATTTTTGTTCATGTTCTAATTAATTGGAAGATTAGCAGATTCTTTTAAATGAAATACTGTATATCAAGATGTTTTGCATCCTTACAGCCATACTTTCATTTGGGGGGGGGGGAATAAAACAATGTATTAATTTGCCAATCCTGAAATTAGCTAAGCCAAGCCTTATTAAAAGGCATTCCAGAATTGGTGGGAGGGGGTTAGAGTTCATCTATGAAAATTGCAACAAGTATCTTAGCAGAGAGCATCAGAAGCATATCAGAGTTATCTAGGGAAGCCTGCACAAATATTTTCTGAGCATGTATAGAATTACAAAACAATTGAAATCCTGATACAAGAGGAGACATCAGGAACTGCCTTTACTTGTACAACATTACAACATTTTGTGTAGCTCTCGAATCCAATTACAGTAGTTTAGGAATGACATTAAACCATTAAAGAAATAGAATGTCAGTTTTCAATATTAATTTTGACATTTGCTGATTTCTTGAACCTCCAACTTCCCATACACTCTATTCTAATTTCTATGGAGAGTTATTTCCACATTACCAACCTACCATGGAGTGACTAGGAGCTGAGTTTGACTCAGTGATATCTCTATATTTTATCTTGACCCAGCATTCCTTTTTAAATAGTTTGACGGTTTTCCTAAAATATTAACCATGAACATCTGTGTCAACCTTCATTCAAATCAAAAGTGGATGAGTATTTGGCATGGATTGCTATCTCTGATTTAGTCTGGGAGGTTCTCTGAGAAGGATCCTGTTAGGAGGCTGATTTTGCTATATCTTCTCCTATCATATAAGGCAAATTTTGTTTTTTTTGTAACTGCACATCCAAATTAAACTAAGCCCCTGACCTGCAGATTTACCAACATAGCTCTCCAACCAACTGCAATGGTGTCTTCAAAACTTGAACATTGTTGATTAATGTTTTAGCTTGGCCCGCAGCACAGAAATAATTACAAACAAAAATATGATTGGGCTGCAATATTTCTGAGTTTTCTTGTGACTGTTTCATTCAACTTCTTTAAAACCCTAGGCGTGTCCATTAATTTGTAGGAGTCTCATTTGCTAGCCTCCAACTTCTTCAGGCAGAACTGCTACCAATGTCATATGCATTGACTTGGATTTTAAGAAAATGTGATTTGCACTTCTGTGCATGTTCCCTGACATACTCAGTATCTGGCAAAACCGCACAACAAATAACTCAGTAGCTCTCTTTAAAGGTGCAACTATTCACCAGATCTTAAACACTTGATTCTTTTTGTGAACATTTATAATTGTTGGTTACCTGGGGTTTGCAAGACAGATAACATTAACAAGACTAATGTTATTACTGCTTAATTAAAATGATCTTCACCACAAGATTAGAATCTGTGATCTATACCAAACATGGGTCAATCAAATTTTAGTGTTTTCAAGTCCCCATTGATTTCAGTAGAAAGTTAAGCACCTTCTTAAATCTCTGGTTACAATCAATGCAATTTAAATGCCCAAAACAGTGGCTGGATGATATCCATCATATACCCTAATGTTTCCAACTTAGCATTAATAGCTTTGAATTCAAAATAAAATCCTTTAGTTTTATAAGTAAATTTATCTTCCTTACCTATATAGCCAAGGGTAATTTTATGTTAAACCACATGTATTTTAAATTTCATGAGGATCAGAAAAGCACACAAAAAATAGTCCATTTCATCATACAATAACATACCATTTGCCTGAAGAAAATAAATTAAAAAGTGGGGTTTGTAGAAGTGAACTAAAAATTATGATGTCTAGAAATTTCCTATTGAAAGAAAGGTGATTCTTAAATAATATCTGTTAAAATATAATTTTCCTGCAGTTTAAACTATATTCTTTCCTTAATAAGATGGTATAGCCATTACATAAATCACAGTTCTTCAAAGCAACCACATAAGATAAAAGGTAAATATTCCTAAATTTTATTGATAAATATTTATATAAGACAAGCTGTTTAAAACAGAGTTTTAAACCTAACTTGGAACATAGTTAAATAAACCAATAAATGACATAATATTTTAATTATATTTTTAAGCTTTGGTTTAATATTTGCTGTTTCATAACTACACCATGTATTGTATAAACAACGAAACAGGTGTCAATATAATAAAATAAATGTGCTAATGACAAATTACAAATTTTACCCTTTCCCACTTGTGTTGCGCAATCACCCACAATATATTAGTGGCAGGTTTTGCACTGTAGCATTGCAACACATGCTTTGTCACTTATGCCACTGCTGTAAACACCCCCAATCTACCATTGAGATGACAGACCATTTAGAAAGTTGACCATAATAAAAAACACAAATTATTAGAAAGAAATCCAGTCATTAATTGTTGTAAAATAATGTCACTATTTATGCAAATAGAGAAGTCTGTAACAGATCTCGATAAAGAACTCTGGAAAACATGATGTTGAAATATTTGGATAAGAAATCTTTAAATCATCAGGAATATCATGCTATAATGCTTATTAATATATTTATATATTTAAAATATATATATATTTTCCATTATTTATTTCTTGGAATCAATATTCATTGCCTTTCTGCCAGTATTCAAAGCAGGCCTGTTGACAATAAACACGACAACCCTAAAGACTGATATCTATAGGATAGTTTTTGAATTGTAGTTTCTGGCATGCCTATTGGCTGAAACTTTCAAATGCTTACATTTTAGACCCTTCATTTGGAGTAAGCAAATGTATTTCTAATAGTACACAAATTAGTTGCAGACTTTCATAAGCTTCCCTTTTACTATGATAGCAATTATATATCAGTTGCTAAAACGTTGATGAGTATACAAGGGTCACTTTCATAAGCAACGACAAGCAGCAGGTGTCACCCACATATGGATGTAAAACAGCACTCACCAGCTTGAACTTTTATATAAAATTATTAGTCATCATTAAACATGGTATCCCGATAGACCAGGGGCCTCCAACGTTGGCAACTTTAAGACTTGTGGACTTCAACTTCCAAAATTCCTCAATCAGCAAAGCTGGCTGAGGAACTCTGGGAGTTGAAGTCCACAAGTCTTAAAGTTGCCAAGGTTGGAGACCCCTGCAATAGACCATTCACTGAAAAAATACTGACTTGAAATAAGACAGACTTTGTTCTACAAAAAAATAACATTATACTGTACAAAATATGAATTGATATTCAAAATAACTTTCAGTGTAATTAGGAATGTTGTTGGTATTTTCTTTCTATTGTGTTGTAGAAAAACTGCCTAGCGGGTGGGCAATACATAGGACATGTGGTACTTTATTTTATTTTTATAAATTCATTCACTTTCCTCATTTCCACCCCCTCACCCCAATTTCTAGGCTTGAATCACCTACAAGATCTTTGATAATGGAAGCTCCAAAGGGAATACAAGTGAGTGCAGCTGCAGGGGACTTGAAAGCCACTTGTAGAAAAGAGCTACATTTGCAGTCTACAGAAGGGGAGGTAAGCCTTATTAGAGAACCATATTCATCTAGTGAAATCCTATGCATATGTACTTGGACACTAGTCCATTATATGGTGCTTAGAACCAGAGCCTTAAATTAATTATATTTATCTCTGTCTTGCAATAAAGTCCATCACATTTTAATTGCATGTGCATATAAAAAACTGTGAGCTTGATAGTATCTTTATCTTTGAGCAGCTGATGTTTGATCTGATTCTGGAGGACATTAGATTTATGGTCACATCAGTTCTTGCTCCAAATATTTGCTACTGCTTATTGTCTCTGGAGGAAAGACAAACTCAAATGGGTCCAGATGGATCCCAGATGGACACTGGAGGGAGTTTTGTTAAGAACTTAATTACTGGAATTAAAAGGCAGTCATTATTGCTCCATGTTCCTTTCTGGGAAGCATGTTGGTTTACCAAGAACCTCTGTAAAACAATGTGGTTGGAGTTCACAGTACTTGACATCCTCTATAGCGGGGTCCCCAACCTTGTCAACTTTAAGACTTGTGGACTTCAACCCCCAGAATTCTATGAGTTGAACCCATGCACTAAATAAGCCCTCCCCTGAAAATAAGCCACCCCCCAAATTGCAACAGAGCAGCAGCCATGAGGTAACCATGCTCCCCACCTCCTGCATCTCAAAAATATAATACCTCCCTGAAAATAGGCCAACAACTTATTTGGGTATTAAAAGAAATTAAGACCCTGTCTTATTTTCTGGAAAGCACAGTATAACCACAAGGTTGTGTGCAGACATTATGTATTCAATTTCTTGATCATTTTATATTGCTTTTCCATAAGCTCATTGCAACTCTATGAAGTAGCTAAGAAAAAGGATCTAGCCAATAGTTGTCTAGTTTATTTTCATGGCTTAAGATGAATGGAACAGATAATTAGATATAAATATAACAACACTCCAAATCCTTACTCCACATGTCTCTGTGTTCTTGAACATTTAATTAGTGTACTTTAGCAGCTGTTTCTAGAATCGTTTTGTAAAGAATATGTTAAATCCTTTAGGAGTAAGTGGGATTCTGGAGCAGTTTCGCTACATATCAAGAAAAAAAGTGTTCTACACTGGCAAATACTATATAAATTATAATTCTACAACTATCAAGATAACAATCATCTATTCCTATTCCTGATCCTGATCCTAAGCTTCATACTCTTTATACAATCTCTGTTGATTCTCCCACAAAGTTTTTTCTATTTCCAAGTTTTGATTCCCCTATAATATTAATTCATCACAATCATAAGAATCAAACAAAAGTTGAATTCCACATAACTGTATTATAATAATCATTAGCTGTTCAGTTAAACTGTCTAGCTTTCACCACAATGCTGATAGTTTTAAGGGAATGTGGGGCAGGTATCAAGGGCTGTTGGATATGTTTTATCTTTTCTTCATCATTAATTGCCAACTAATCTCTTCCTAACTACCCAACAAAGGTCCTCAGCTAATAGATGGAAATTCACTTTTGCAAGTTCTTTCACATAAGCAGTCTCATTGTCCAACAACCTAAATCCATATCAGTAGCTCATAAATTGCAAGCCTTTCCAGAATGTTCTTTTCCTAGGTGATATTAACAACTGGGAGAATATTAAATGAACAAGAAGAAAGGGAAACAGTTGCAGAATTGTGGGAATTACATATTGCCTTCTCACTTACAGTGTACTTTTCAAACTTCATTATGCTGATGGACACTAATGTAGGAGTATAATTGCTACATTAGTAATGGGAATATGCATAATCCCTTCTCTAAGTGGAACTGACAAATGGCTACAGTTAAATCAGAATCACCAAAGAGTATAGTGTTGTGTGCTTTTAATTTTTCTCAGCTCAAACTTGTATGTCCTTATGCACTACTTCAGCCTTCTGCTCTATTTCAACATTTAAACACCAGAAGAAATATATGGATGGTATCAAAAATAAGGACAGCTCGGATTGCACAAGGAAAAGCATTGCTGCCAGCCACTGGGTTGTGATGAAGTCCAGTTAACCAGGAAAGAGTCTGGTTCTGCTATTTTGTAATAACTGAATGTCATTCTGAAATTCAGAGAAGGGCATCATCTTCTCTATTTTAGTGGTCTGTTTTAGAGAATCCAATAACATATCCTGCAGTAAAAGTAATTCATTTTCCTCCTTCTTTTTTTTCCCCCCCAGATATTTTTAAATGCAGACTCAATCCGGTTAGGGAATCTACCGCTGGGATCTTTTCCCTCATCTTCCTCACCAAGTTCATCGGCAACAAGACAGACTATCTATGAGATCTGTATTTGTCCAAATGGCAAACTCTACCTTTCCCCTGCAGGAGTAGGTTCCACGTGTCAGTCCAGTGGCAACATTTGCTTGTGGAGCTGAAGACACCAGAATCATCCTCCTCCTCCTCCTATTTCTCCTCCTCCTCCTTACACCAGAATAGCCTTTTTGTTACTGTCCCTCTGCTTCACGGTTCTGCTTGATTTCCCTCGTTTGATCATGAAGCTCTACGCAGCCTCCTGGATCTCTTCCAGCCCAAGCAAGGAGCCAAACAGAGCCTTCTCTTCTGGCTTATGGAGCTCCATGATGGAAGATAGAAGGCCTAATAAAATGGTTGGCTTCACCAGGGAATCTGGATCTTCGTATCACTTTTTGTCCAAAAGGGAGAAATACACAGGTGCCTTGGCTATATATGAAGTGAAGCACATTGTTTTAGAATTTTTTTGAGCAGGAACTGTATACGAGAAACTGCACATATATACATAATTATATAGAGATAGATATACTACTATAGAAATTGGCCCAGAATCTAAAGTTGAGATGAATTGGTATGACAAATAACTCTACTGTCTGAAAGCACAATTTTCATATACCCATCACTTTTGGATGTAAACTTTTATCCCAGAATTTTAAGACTTCAAAACATTGTGTAACATTTGCTTTACTAAACAAGTAAAATTCAGTTTCATATTTTAAACAGCAAGAGACAGAATCCCTCTCTGAGTGATAATCTTTCCCCCCTCCCTTCAGGGCATTGTTATTGTGTCTCCTTCATTCAGATTTTGTGAGTTAGATAAACACTTTTACAAGTCATCAGAATTGTTACCTATCCAAACCTTTTATTTTTGTGCTGATTTTGAATGATTTGTTTGTGCATGTGAAGTAACATTTAATAACAGTTTTCCTCTCAATCATTTGAATGCATCTAATGCAGCCACACTATTAAAGAAAAGGGAATCTGTTGACCTGATGGCCCATAGAGCAAAATACACATATGATTATTACATTTTGCTTCTCAAAAAACAAGCAAACTCTAATATATATAAATGTCTAGAGATGGAGAAAAGATGAGGTCACTGAGGGTGTTTTCTACAAAGAATGACTTACATACTTTGCCCAAAATATAGTGACTTATAATGGGAACAAGAGCCATGTCCTGGTTTTAAATGAGAATTTCCTCATTTCTATTTCATTACAGCAAAGGAGGCAAATCTATGCACGCATAAATGTTCCTTTGATTGAAACAAACAAAAGGGTAATGCCAGAGTTCCTAAGGAAGCAATGGGTTGGACTGCAGTAGTCTCATGTTGTAAAGTTCTTTACTTCTTCTTCCCTTCCTTCATCCCTAAACATCCCAAAAATCTTTCTAAGGAGTCTCAGGAAACTGCCCAGGTGAAATATAAGTGGAATGTAGAGTGGGAGTGATGAGTGCAGCAGAATAGCCCCAAATTCATTAGTCATTTTAGGTCATTATGCCCCCCCCACACCAGTTGCTCTCATAATATATTTCACATTACTCGATGGTGATCACCAAGTTTCTCTGAGAAACTTTGGTAGTAGTGAGGAAGTCTTTCCTTCTTTGAACTTCCCTACAAATATATTTCAACTAAATACTAAAAGAAAAAAGTAATAAACAGATTGATACTATGTATATCTCCTCAAGTATATATTTACAGAATGTACACACTGGAATTTACAAAAAAACAGTTTTTATCGAAACTGAACCCTAAAAGCAGTCAATGAGATAGCAATTGGAGATACCCAAGCTACAATACAGGGGAGTAAAATATAAGCATATATATATATATATATATATATATATATATATATATATATA